TAGGGATTTGAACGAAAAATTAAAATCAATGGAATTTCTATTTAACTAATAATCGATTTTAAAGTAATAATATTTACGACGTTCGATAATTATCAAATTTTACGAACAACACGATATTGTCGTCTTTCGTAATACGACATAATTAATAATAAAAAGTGTTATGTGAAAAATTTATAAATTTTCTCTAATACTTGAGTAGTTTTTTATTATCTGCCGTTTATTAAAAAACGTACGAGATAATGATCTTTTCTCATAGTTATTATCTTAGTGGTGCCGTTCGAATTGTCATCTCGTGACTTGACTTCGTCAGTAGCGAAAGCAAATATGGAGCCAATAGCTCGTCTTGTGAAAGTATCGTTACCAAATTATTTAGCTGGATTACCGATTCCAGATACGATAGGAGGATGGTTTCGACTCGGTGGTAAGTAATATTAATTACTTGATTAATTTTATTACTTCGTTTGGTCTATCATATGTCTTTCGTTAATTAAGAAAGGAATTTCGCAAGAATGATTGTGCAGTAAAGTATTGCTCGTGTCGAACGTAATTGTACTACTATAAGTGAAAAAAAAAAAAAAAAAAAAAGAAAAAAATGAAGAAGAACGTAATTTAAGATTTTATATATTTGTTTCATAGTGACCGATTGGGCATCATTAATTCCACCAACAGCTTTATTGGCAGGCATTGGTTATATGTCGTACAAAGCGTTTTGTCCTCATGGCAGACCGAAAGTAAGTAATCTACTTGTTACAAACTTATAAAAAAGATATTACGACAATATTTTCTACGTAACCAGTATCATTTTAGTTATATCGATTACGTAACCTCATTTTTACTTTCTATTCTTTAAATTATTCACAAGATAAAAATTTTCGTATATATATAACGAATGAAATTTAATGATGTTTCTTTATTTCTATATTATTTTTATATAATCCATGTTAATTTATTAAATACCATATATGTTTATCTTTTTATAGTTTTTGCGTATGATAACTTTATAAAATATTAATCCTAATAAATAACGTTAGTTATATTCGATTTATATATTTTTTGTTTTAGCCATGTGGTAGAGTAAATCCTTCTATTAAGAAAGATGTTAATAAAGTAGTAGATATCATTGACGTCGAAGATATAACAGAGAAAGCCGTTTTCTGCCGTTGCTGGAGGTCTAAAAATGTAAGTTTTTCTGACAATGTTTTTGATATTATGTATAGACTAACTAAAATTATACGTTCTGTATATAAAGAGCAACTTTTATATATGACCTAGTTTATATTCATCCAAGAATTCTAGTTATGAAACTAGTGTTATATAACAAGTATAATAAGATTCTTTATCTATAAGTTATTATTTTATGATATATTTGGAAAAAGCTTTTATTAAGTGTATTATAGAAAAAAAGTATATATAAAAGTCAATAAAAAATTAGAGATTTAAAAAAAAAATAACAAATGTTTTCTTATTGCAGTGGCCATACTGTGATGGATCTCATGGACCATTCAATAAAGAGGTCAACGACAATGTTGGTCCATTGGTCGTGAAGAAAGAGAAATAAATTCAAGCTGTCTGTTATTTAAATACCGGTTGACACAAATACACTATACTGTTTTATACTGTTAGGGAAAAGTAATTCTTAAAGGTATGGAATAAGTATTTCATGTATTATAAACGATTCCTTATTTTTCTGTAGATAGTGCATTATTGTATTACCAAGGATTTATAGAAATGATTAATTATCAAGAAATAAGGTATGCATGTTATTTACCTGATTGTTAAAAAAATACCGGAAATAATTTATAAATAAATATACAGAGAGAAAGAGAGAGAGAGAGAGAGAGAGAAAGAGGAAGAGGAACAGATTGTTATTCTTGGATATACCAATTTAAAATTATATATATATTATTTGTACAAATTTTAATTATAAATTGCGCTTTCTTAAAAAAATTGTCTTAATCCGTAAAGCATGTATGTACATATATATATATATATATATATAAATTTAATGATTTGCATAATATTTGGGTAATAGTTTAAATAAAATGTATCTTATATAAAAAAATAACATACATGGTTTATTGTTATCTTTGAAATATATACACTTATGAAGCATGCTACAGAAAAAAACAAATAGTTTTCATCGGTAGCATAAATACTATTGTCTTTCTTAATATTATATATCATTGATTACACAGTTATGCTTTTAAAATAATGATCATGATATTCATTAATCATATAATTCTAACACCTATCATTCACATGAAATATTCACTCGTTGTCTTGTTAGTGTCCTGCATGTAATATAATAATCAATATATGAAACTGTTTGTATATATACTGAAATAATTTTCTTAAATTTATAATCATTACTTTCTACTTCTAACACGTCAATATTTTAATAATACGATAAAAATAAAATCTTTCCTTAAAGTAATATGATTTTATATAGGAACACACGTTATAACTTACGTAGGAAATAGTAAAGTACGAAAATATTCAAATATAATAATACATTTGTTACAACAAACCGATTAGATTCTACACAAAAATCGGTTTTTTATATATATACATACACATACATACATACATACATACATACATACATACATACATACATACATATATATATATACATATATATATATATATATATATATATATATATATATACACGCGATATCACAGATTTTCAAAATTTTCTTTATCTCACGAAATTTATAATACGAATCGTGAGTTACCTCGTGATCTATGTATGACTCTGCGGGCATACATCAGACGATATACCATCCTTGCTTTTCCAAAGTCAGAGCTACAAAAACGTAAGACATAAGAAATTCGTTTACAATATGAAGAAAAAAGAAAAAATAATATACATATTTTATAACAGTACCTCAAAATGTCTCAGATCGTTCGTATCGAATTCCAACTCGTTCACCAATAATTCTCGACGTCCGTATTTGCGCCTAAAAAAGAAAGAAAAGAAAAAAAAAGATTGATAAGAAAAGAATGAAAAGATTATTATGAATATAAATAATTCAAAGTATCTCCAAGATAAGATGTACTGATATACATCTATATATATATATGAATCATATTGCTCTTACTCGAGATATTGCTTCCAGATAACCATACTGATGTATCCAATAATGATCGCAACAGCAAACGTAATAGTTGTTACCAATGCAATAATACCAGGTGGCATACTTCCACTGGTATCTTCTTTACTGATAGATTCTTTGCTTTTCAGACTTAATCCTTCGTGTTCTACTTCTTTCTCCTTCTTTAACATCACAGTATCGTTTTTAACTTTTACTTGATCATTCTCGGAGGTTAACACGGTGCTTATATCGGAGGACACGGTGGTTGTTATCTCGGAGGATTCTAGAAAAATAATAATCTCGTTTATATAAATATACATATATATATATATATATACACACACTCACACACATATGTTTCGTATCATTTAAAAATACGTGTCAATATGAGAACAAAAATAAAAATCGAATTATTTTGACGTACTCAATGATATCGTGTTAATTTCTATTGTCGCATTAATCGATTCAGAAGGAACTGTTTCGTACATCGTAGATTTTAATTTGTCGGCAATGTCATTGCCGGCCTTTTTTGTGTCATTCACGTCCATGGACGCTGGAGTAATTTTTGGTGAAACAACATCCTCTGGAGTGATCGTGACGCTTCTTTTTGTGGTCGTCGGTGTAATTTCTGTAAATTAAAAAAAAAAAAAAAACAATAAATAAAATAAAATAAAAAGAAATGATTAACCTATCTCGTTCATCGATTCAATCCAAATGTCATCATACAATTAGAAAATTTCATTAACCTGAGGTAGTGCTAATGGATGAATTAGTGTTTTCTTGTTGCATCGTTTTAATGGTTGTAACATCTTCTTCGTCGAGTGGAGTTACGCAACATTGATTCAAATTCTTTTGTTCGCCGATAAAATCATTTGATTTTTGATTCTCAGTTACCGCATTAATTAGCGTCGTCTCTTCGACTGGTCGTTTCGTAATGTTTTGATCAGTATGATTCAGCGCAATCGGCAATTCGCTTGCACTCTGCAACGTCGGGGATAATTCCTTTGTTGATGCTATTTTGATAAGATAAAAAGAATTTTATAGATGATATTCATTCGGTTGAGAATTTTTTTTTTCTTTTTTCTTTTCTTTTTTTTCTTTTTTTATCGGTTTATCAATCACTCATTGCATACCCTTTTCATTCAATGACGTTTTTTGATTTTCTTTCTCGACGATCGTCGAATTTCTTTCAGTGTCCTTAAAAAATTCCTTCTGATGAACATCTGCCTGATCTATCTGATCCGTTCGCTGTTTATCCGTATCATTTGTATTTCCTACATCAGCTAAAATATTTTCCAATTCTTTCGAGTGATTCTTTGGGACATTGAATTCTTCAATGGATACCGTAAATGTTAGGTTCTCTAAAGAAGAAGAATAAAAAGAAGAAAAAGAAAACTTAGATAATTTAGTAGTAAAAATTAATTGGTAGGAATTGAATTTGATTAATGCAGGAGTTGAATTTAATTGATAAAAGAAGAGACACGAGAACAATTCTATTCGTAAAGAGAGAGAGAGAGAGAGAGAGAGAGAGAGAAAAAGGAAGATATGTTATTATGATCAGTCTTTCACACGATCTGTTTTTATCGTTCCTTCTAATGTACGTTTATTGTTCATTTAAAATTACCATCTAATTTACATCTAACGTTTCAATCGTATGTTGCGAAATCGTTAAACATTTTTTTTTCTTTCTTTATTGCTATAACTACAAAAACTCTACAGCTTTTTATCATACAAAAATGTTTTTATCTGTTTATAAGAATGATCGAAGGATGTGTTCAGAATTCTTTAGAATCAATTCATTGTATGCGATTATAAAAGAGAATGATTAAGAAATATATGCAATATTCTTGCTTCGATTTATGAAAAATTTATATGAAAAATTTCTTGAGTTCATTTATCGAACGTGAAAAAAAAAAAAAAAGAATATTTCGATTCTTGTGTCATAAATTCGAAACTATTAATCATGAACATTCTTATCGAACAAATCTATAAGATTGTCGTTATCTCGTTAGTTTTGTAAAAAAAAAAAAAAAGCACAGGCATTTTGAATTCTCTTTATTCAAAATATCAAACCAAAAAAAGAAATACTTCAATTTCCCTTTCGTTTAATCGAAACCATCGATCTTACCAAATAATAATACAGCAAGTAAAATCTTCAACGATAATTGATACATGTTTGTCCAATTCGTTTGATGGTCCAAAAGTTCTCTCGATCAATAACGAAAAGAAACTTTTCGATGATAATGATGAGAACTATGATCTCTCCTTAGTTTCTCGTTTTATCAGATGGCTATTTACTACGTTCGAATCCTGTAATCAATATGTATATATATAATGTTTGTATTTAAAAAATAAAAAATATAAATATTAAAGAAAAACAAAAGAATAAATATAATATATATATATATATATATATATATATATATATATATATATATTATATACATAAATACTATACAAAATAAAGATCATCTTTACTATTATCTGTCAGTAACTATTTAATTTGCGTAATATTAGAATTTTTAGTGTTTTTTACTAGAAATTTATTAGAACATTTGTATATATATGTATATTATATGTATTTATATATGTATGTATATTATATTTATTTATCTAAATAACCTTTAGTAAAAAATACTAAATTTATTTTACTATATGATATAAAGAGTAAGCATGATTTTTTTTTCTCTTTAAAAAATGCATTCACATTTGGCTAATTTTTCTTTTTTCTTTCTTTTTTTTTTTTTTTTTGCTTCTTGCGTTATTTCAGCGGAAAATAACGGTAGTATATACACCTTCGAGGTCGCGGTCATGCGATCGATCTGTATTTATTAATAACGAATTATGCTGGTCTATGTTCCATCCAAATAGTTGCATCAACTAACTGCATTCTCATATTTCCCTTTCTACCTTCTCTTTATTTATTTATTTTTTTTTTTTTTTTTAATAATTCCAATATAAATAACAATGTTCTTTAATATTGTGATGATGTTTAATATTAAAACAAATTATATAATATCGAATATGTTTAAGTATTCATACATGATGATATAATATATAAACAATATTAAAAGTTATTCAAAAAGTTCATAATTAAGAAAAATATATTGTTCTTTTTATTTTTTGTCATTTTGATTTATTTATTTATTTTACTTAATATTTTTTTTGATTGTTTTTTTTCTGTTTTTTTTTTTTTTTTTTATTTTCAGATTAATAGAAATTTAAGAATATAAAAGAAAAAATAATAGAAAAGGAGAAAATATAATTAATAGAAAGAAATATAATTGTCCCGTTATCAAAGAAAATACTTGATGAGATTTTTATAAAACAAGATAATATATTATTGCCCAAATAACTGATAACAGTCATTTAAGTATCATTGAAATATTCTTTATCTTCTACACATATACAACACACACGTGCGCGCGCGCGTACACATACGACACGCATGTATGAATGTGTATGTATCCCGTCATCTTTATTTTTTCTCTGTATGTATATACTGATTAAAATAAAGAGAAAAAGAGAGAGAGAGAGAGAGAGAGAGAGAGAGAGAGAGAGAGAGCGCGAGAGAGAGAGACAGATGAAAAGTTATATTTACATATTTTAAAAATAAATAAGTGACTGTGAAAAATTACAATTTCGTCTTATAACTATACATAGTACGCCATTTATTAAAAGCTAATATTTTCTTATTAATATCTACGATCGCTTTAGAAATCTTTAAAAAGCACGTGCCTTGCGCGCGCTATTCGAGTTGTTTTAACGTGCGCGATTACGTAAAACTTATTCACACAAAACCATTTTATGTTTTCTTTCGTATAACATTATTTTTTATGAATAATTTTATATTCTGCTCCGTTGGAAACATTTTTCTTCACAGTTTATATTACGAATGTCACGATAATCTTACGTTTATTGTGATCTTTCAATGTAAATAATTCATTTAACCTAAAAAAAAAAAAAAAAGACAATCTTTTTTTTTCTTTTTGACGAACTTTTTTTTTGGTCGTATAATTCGACGTATTAAACATGCATGCGCGCGCGCATACACGCATACACACACACATGTATATATATTTCTTTTTTCTGATCATGTGTGTACGTATAATTTCGATATTTCGTGGGGGAAAAAAAGAGGGAAATAAATCATCATATACCATAATTCACGCACGGAATTTTTTCCATCATAAACAAACACACATGTAGATACACATATACTATATTACATATACACGTCATCACATACAAAGGGACAAAGCATTCTAATTTTATACGCAAATTTACGAACCTATTTTAAAAGAGAAAGGAGGAAAGCACGGGAGAAAGGCAAACAAAAGAAACGCGCGCAAATTTGAAAATGTACAAAGGAAAGAGGAGGAAAGAATAGAAAATGAAAAAGAAAATGAAATATACGAACAAAGAGAAAATAAAAATAAAAATAAAAGCATTTCGCGATCATTTTATACACCTGATACTGAGTCACAAACGGAACTATTTCGTTCGTATGTATATACATATATATATATATATATATATATATATATATATATATATATATATATATATATATATATATACATACGTACATACGTGCAGCCATATTAAAAACAAATTTTTTTATTCAATAAGAAAATAAAAAGAAAAAAATAGATAATAAACATTTATCAATGAAATATTTCTGAAAATTAATGAATAAATAAATCATTAGTATATAATCGTAACAAAGTACACAACATGCGTCATTCGCATGTACGTGCATACACCACACATACCTCCCTATCCCCTCCACCGCACACGTATACTCACACATAGAGATATCTAGCCAAAGAGATAAAAAAATATATCGAAGAAAAAAAAAATAAGATTCTTATTTCTTAAAAAAAAAAAAAAAAAAAAAAAAAAAAAGATATCTTACTTCCTGGTTTAAAGTATTCATGGAAGTACAAACCGTGTAAATAATTATATATATATATATAACTTGATGTAGATTCCACTTCTCACGTGTTATTCCGTAACATAACTCCGTATAAAAAGTTTCGACGAGGATATACCTAATAACAGGAGAACGTCTTTCTCGATGCAAAAGCAATCGCAAACTGAACGTCGGAAAACCACGGGAGTATGAACGTCGTAACGTCGACAGGATAGAATGGGAGAAGGAGGGAGAGAGAATGTTATACGACGTTTTATTGGTTTGTTGTATAGTTACACAGATACACAAATACATCCATGATTCGAATTTGTGATACTGTACTCACACACACAAACACACACACACACAACTATTATACACCTTTGGGATTTCTTTTCTGAACGTATTTCCCGTAACACGCGATCTTAATAAATTGTTAAGAAATTACAAGATGAAATTTTTTAATAAAATAATTAATATATATATATATTTCCTTTTTTTTTTAAATACATATAATAAATAATATATATATATATATTAAATATTTATTTATTAAATTTATTTATTTAACTATATATTTTTGTATTTATAAATTATATATAATATTAGAAATTTATATTTATTACTATTATTTATGTAGTTATGTATTATAAATAAAAAATATAATATAAAAATAATATGTTTTATATTGTAAGTACACGTATGTATTATGTATATTTATTATATTGTAAAATAATATACATATATACATATATTTTTCGTAATTTTCATTCGATCAAAGTGTTGTTTCGAATCATGACGAAATAAATTTTAAAACTTACGACATCAAATGACCAAAAGTTATTCTTTTTATTCTTTGTTTCCATTTTTCAAAAAATAATATTGCGTTCCGTTAATACAAACTGATGTGTGTAATTGTATATATATATATATATTTCTATATATATATATATTTCTATATATATATATATATATATATATATATATTTCTATATTATATATATATATATTATATATATATATGTTTCTATATTATATATATATATTATATATATATATAATATATATATTAATATATATATATATATATATTTCTTGCTACGTAACGCAATATTATAACACGTTATATTACGTACGAAGAAAATTCAAACTATTTATCCTTCCCGCCTTTTCTTTTTCAAAATGGTGGATTGCTTAGTAAGATAAATCTATATGGAGGGGGAAAGAAAGAATGATTTAGTAGGGCGAATGCAAAGTAGTTGACAAAAAAAAGAGAAGGGTGTGCTCTGTTTTTTCTTTTTTTTTTTTTTTTACTGAGCTATTAATAGCACATAACATATGTACATATATAAATATATATATATAACATATTTATATATATATATACACACATGTGTGTGTGTGTGTGTGTGTGTGTGTGTGTGTGTGTATGTATGTATACTAGTTATAGGTTCTATGGAACGCAACACTGCGTCATCATGGAAATGCATTTGAATTGGAGACCCTGGAGACTTTGAAATACGTCATCTTTCATTTTAAGAAATAGACTACCACGTAGATGGTCCATTCAATGAATTTCATTAATCAGCCTCACACATAGATTGTCAATGCTATATAGATGATTCTTTTAAGATTCCGGTTTACATACTGACAAGAAATATGTTAACGCTATGCCCTCGTTTTCCTTTCACTGTTCTATGTAAAATTGATACGTTTGATCGAACTAGAACGTATTCATTTAAGGATAGAAAAATATCTATGGTTTCGCTTCGTGATAATAAATTCTTTTTCAAAACTTTCATCTATGATTATTAATTTAATATTATATGATGATGAGGAATTTGAAATAATTGGCAAAAAAGTATAAGAAAATATTTTTTTTTTTTATCATAAAAAGATATTTTAAGATAATTGATATCAATGTTATATTAAATTTTCAAATTGAATATACGTGGTGTATATATATATATATATATATATATATATATATATATATATATATATGTATATGTACTGCGTGGTAATAGATTGACCCTGCTACAGATGAAATCTTATTAAGCGTGAAACCCCTCAAAGTACTTAGGTAGGTAATTCGATATATGTGCAAGAAGTGAATGGGAACCGAAACGTCGTTTTATTGCTTTGTATTTAGCAAAGAAAGTAGATATTATCCGGGAACAGAATGAGTCCGGCATTCTCACGAAACGCATGGATAATAATAGTCTGGACCTTTTGGGTAATGCCATTTTTTTTTCATCTTATTATTGGAAAAATATAAAATAAAGAAAGAGAACCATCTTCCCTGGTATATATATATATATATAAATACATATATATATATTTATTATTACATTTTAGATTTAATTGATCAATTACTTTTTTTTATAATTATACTAAAATAATGATCTGAGTATATTCAATGATTATACGCATATATATATATATACATGCGACAAATAAATAAATAAATATATATATATATATATATATATCGTTTATGATATTATTGTTTATACGTTAGATCATGATAAAACACTTTCGATTGTAACGTTTATAATTTTAGGCTCGCATTGTAAGACGTTATATTAATTATATTTTTTTTTTTTTTATTACAAACAAATAAATAAATATTGCAGATTCCTAAATATATTTAGGTATATATTATAAATTTATATATATATATTATATATATAATTAATATATATATATACACAAAGTTGTCTAAACTTTTAAAATAAAAGCACTTCTTTCATTATTGCTATTCCATTAAACTTTAAATAAATAAAATCCTTTAAATAAAAAGTTTAGACATCTCCAAGCTAAATCATGATAGAACACTTTCGATTGTAACGTTTATAACTTTAGGCTCACATTGTAAGATGTTATATTAATATTTTTTTTTTTTTTTTATTACAAACAAATAAATAAATATTGCAGATTCCTAAATATATTTAAGTATATATTATAAATTTATATATATATATAAATTTAATATATATATATATATATATATATTATATATATAATTAATATATATATATATATATATACACAAAGTTGTCTAAACTTTTAAAACAAAAGCACTTCTTTCATTATTGCTATTCCATTAAGCTTTAAATAAATAAAATCTTTTAAATAAAAAGTTTAGACATCTCCAAGCTAAAGCATAAGATATTTTATAGCATATTCTTAAAGTACAATTCTATATGATAATATAGTCTTTATGATAATACAAAAATGTAGGAGTGAGTGCGTAAATACTTTAAATTATGGTTTTTAACATACGTGACATTGCATTTTTTTTTTTTTTTAATGAATTATTCATTTTAAATCATAAGTAGTAGTGTTTTGCTAATTGCGATATAAGTATTTTTTAATGAGTTTTAAAAAATAATTATTGATACTAATTATAAAATGATATTTGGTTATAGATATAGAAATTAATATAAAGCGCTATGAACACCATTATTTTTTTTTTTTTCCAAAGGCACAGTAAACTTATGTGTATATATAGATAAAGCTTTATACGGAGAGAACAATGTTTATAAAAAATTTAAGTTCATTTTTCACTACAGCAAAGTTATTTGAAGATTACTCGTTTAATTTCGATATTATTGTTGATATTCTATATTATAAATGCACTTTTTGGACTGACTATAATTTGATGATATTCATTTTATCGTTTATAATGAAAAATATCAATTAATTTTTTATGTTTAATGCTCAAAGTAGAGCAATAATATTTCAGAGATAGTTAAGAAGTCAGTGTTCAATACATCTTCACATTGAAAGCTGTCTGTATATCAATCACTTAGATACACCTTTAACAATAAAAATTTATATCAATGAATGAACATAAAAGATATCAAACAATAAAGAAAGTACCTACATGATCTTTTAAGATGGTGCAATTTGTAATCTTGCAGTAATTTATCGAAACGTATTTGTATACGTTAAATTTGATTCTAAACAATTCAAAGATGTCATTTTCTTCTTAAATCTATTACTTCCACGGGTGCGTTTGAATTTAGCTTACAATGTTTTGCTTTCTAAAAATAAAATAAAAATATAAAAATTATTACATATGAAAATAATAGTTAGTTCATTCACATACCATATAAAGCGGAGGCTCTGTTGGATGAGGATGAAAACCGGTCTCTCTACAATTAGCTATATAATCTAAACCATATTCTGGAGTCAAAATAAAAAAAGCTGTCCTACATAAACATATTAGATATTATAAAAATATTTATGTAGAAGAGAGAATTAAAAGATATAATTTAAAATAAAATTTCATTTGCTTACTCATCATATTTGGGTGCACAAACAATAGCAATTGCCTCTGCCATCATGAGTTGATAAGAACAATGAGTGTGAAGATCCACACTGGATAGAAAAGCAGTTTGAGTAGGATGCGTCTATAAATCAGCAAAATTTTTATTTTTTATTAAAATATTATTAATTACATATATCAAAATATTATTAATATTGTATTTTATACAAATATACATACATGTATCCATCCAAGAGTAATTAAATTATGATGATCTTGAAAATCAAAAATATCCTCTTCATTGAGTGTTAAACAAGAATCAGGAGAACCTGTTTGTTGTGGTATTAATAAATGAGTGATCAACAATTTATTTTGTTCCAATTTTCCTGTTAATATGCCACATGTTTCTTTATTATTTGCCGTGTTACTAAATGCTAGAGCAAGGAAATTTTCTATCAGTTTGCTAGGCAAAACAATATCACGTAATTGGCCACTATCATTCAAAAGTATGGTAGGCTTTGTTGAACGATCCACCGTAGGTATACTGCTAATAGATATTTTTGATATAATAAAACTGTTTAAAATACTACATATGTATATTTATGTATATAGAAGTGAAACTTACTTATCCTTTAAAGATTGAGCTCTACTAGCTATAGGTAAACTTGTTGGTGGCTTAAGGCTTGGTGTAGGCAACTTTATAGATTTTGTATCATCAGTTGTCACAAAGAATGTACTTGCAGCAATCTTAGCAGCTTTTACAGCCTCTAATGCTGCCAATTTATTTTTTCTTTCCTCTTCTTCTTTTAATCTATATAAATGATAAAATATATTAATATACATGATAATAAATTCATTAGATAAAAATAAAATATATTAATTATACCTCTGTTCTTCTTCCTGTTTTAATCTCTCTGCATTTGCTTTTTCAGCTTTTTTCGTATCTTCCAAATCTTTATCCAATTGATTTTGATACTGTTTCAATAATTGTTTCTTTAATTCCTCTGCCTTTGGAATAACTTCTCGCAATTTTTGCTTATTTATTGCTTTATCTTTTGCCGTTACCACATGATACATTTGATGATGCTGCATTTTTTCTACAAAAAGTCTAAAAAAAAAAAAAAAAAAAAAAAAGAAAAAACAAGAAAAAAAAAAGTATTTTCCTAAATCAGTGAAATATCTTTTCAATTATAATATACAATAATATGTACAAAATCTTACGTTATAAATTTCAGAAATAAACAATATGCTTCTTCGTAGTTCTTTTCCTTGACATATACATCAGCTTGTCTGATCATTTGTATTCCAGAACGATAATATCTAAAAAAAAATCATATACAAATATATAAACAATACATATACAAATTTATAAAAGAATAAAACTATAGTTTCATTAGATATAACTTTTTATTATTCAAAATACCTATGAGGCGGAATGTTATGATTTATTGTCACTTTAGAAGCTTTCTCAGAGAGTTCTTTCAAACGTGTTTCTGGATCCTTTATTCCCATCTCTTTATAGGGATACTGTCCTGTGTGCTTACTTTCTGATTTATTCCTCTTCATTTTAAAAAGGTTACGTTAGTTTAAAAAGAACATATCAATGTATACTAAAGGAATATGATCGTAGAATGAAATTATGGAGAAAAAAGAAAAAGAAAAAAAAACAAAAAAAAATAAAAAATAAAGGATTAATAAAATAAAAGAAAAAAAAAGAGAAAATGAATTATATATGAATATATTTAAAATGACAAGATAGCTATATGAGACAACTGCTATAAAATGTAATCATTTAATATATCGAAGTAAAAATATTTAGGAACGATAATGACGTTCATTATATCGATGAAGATATCTGAAAAATATAATCAGTGAGATAAACGTTTGACACAATTGAAAAAATACGTAAACTCTCTGATAAATTCAGATAAATTGAATGATATTGCCAGCGTCTGTTATCAAGGGGCATAGAGAAAATATAATATAGATCTGACAAGCGCGCGCAACAAACTTAGTTTTTTTTTTTAGTTGCTTCCTTGTCATTAAAACGTCACATAGAACGTTACCAAAAATACCTAGATAAAAATAAATAGTAAGCGCTGTTGATAAGAGATTGACAAATACCGAAGATAAATAACGAATAATATTTATTTTTTTTCAGAAATTAAAAAACTAATTATTTCGAAAATGTTTTCATAAAAAATTAAAAAAAAAAATTTATTTTTTTTTTTATGAAAATCAATTGTTATTAAATTATGCAGAAATATTTTGAAAAAATCAATAATCATTATTAAAAAAGGCAATTATTTTTTATTACGAATAACCATTATCGATAACGAAAGTCCCGTTTTAATAAGAGTAACCAATATGGACGACGAGACTTTTTTTTTTATCGATAATCGATATAGATGGCAAGGGGTTTTTTTTTCTTATTACTATATATGGTATTACACATTTCTTTTTATTCCAATATGTTCGGTCTCTATATCAACGTGTTTTTCTTTGTACTTGTCGATTCAATAGTGTATTTTTAGAAGTTCTCTGTAATTTATATTTTCTAGCTCATCATTCGAAGAAATTAATTAATTTTTTATTGATTTTTCTAAAGAACATTGTAACAAAAGTGCTCTAAGAATTGAATAAATTAATAAAAAAATTATATTACTTGAAAAAATCAAATGATATTTATGTTATACATAACACGTATCGGTTGGTAATATAGAAATCTATTGTGTAATCCCGGTCGGTAGAATCGAAATTTATTATTAAAAATTGAGTTAATGTGTTAGTGAGAATTAAAGAGAAAAAAATAAAAAAAAGAAAAGTTGTAAATACTTTCTAATTGGATTGGTTCGCAAATTTGTTATCTCTTTATTATTTCTAACGAGCCAATCATTTTTCATCATTGTAAATCAATAGACCAATAGAATGTGACTTTTGCGTTGGATTAATATCACCTGAATTTATTCAAAATTCAAAATATTTTATATTTATCTCAGAATACATTGATTCTTGTTATCAGTGTGATAATTCGATCGATCCTTTATAGATTATTTTTTTCTTTTTGTTACTTAATATTTAAAATTAATATCTCGGGAATATTCTAACGAAGTGTACACGTACAAACTGCGAATAAAACAGCTGATTTATTATGTGTTGGTTAATAGTATTCTCTATGTATTTGTGAGTGTATACGGAAAAAAAAAATTATTACGTATTTAATCAATTATTTGTATGAAGAAATCGATAATATGATAACTTTATAATGCTTCACGGTTTCACGGTTATAACGTATAAATGAAGATATGCTGAAACCAAATATTTTTTTTTTTCTTTTTAAATAATTACGAATAAACAGTTTCATGAATCACAGATAAGGATATATCTGAAATATTATTGACATTTATATTAAACATACGTAAAGTGTTTTTATTCGATAATCGTGTAATATTGATAAAATAAAAGTTTCAAGTTATTGTCAATTGAAATATATCAGATGTTAAAACACTTTTGTTTTTATTTCTTTTCATTATGATACTACACTCAAAGCTTTTTTATAATGCAAGACGAAGGTATTGATTCTTTAATTTCTTTTGTTTTCATTCTATATTTAAATTTTTCATTTGATAATTATTGTTCATTTCTTTTTTCAGATCTGAAATAATATTGTCTAGATTATTTTTAACTGATCAAGTTAATGCTTATAAGCATACCTTTCAACAAAAAGACAAAGCATATGCGAATGAAAAAGAATTTAAAAATTACTTTAACATAAAATATGTAATCGGTTTTGTGATAACTGGTTCATTTTTAGGTATATATTTTTATAATTTATCCCAAAAACAAATACAGACATTTAAACAAAATAACGATATTGAATGTGGAAATTTAAGAAAAGATCTTAAAACTTATACGTTAGAAGAAGTGGGTAAACATTATAATAAAGAAAATCATATTTGGGTAACTTATAAAGAAGGCGTATATGATATTACGAATTTTGTCGAGCAACATCCTGGTGGTTCTTCTAAAATTATGATGGCAGCTGGAAGCTCGATAGAACCATTTTGGTTGATTTTTGCTAATCATAACACACCAGAAATATACGCTCTTTTAGAATCTATGAGAATTGGTAATATATCTAAAACAGATGCCAAGTCTAATATTAGCGATTTAAATGATCCATATGCGAAAGAACCGTCTCGACATAGAGCATTAAAGATCAATGGACATAAGCCATTTTGTGCAGAAACACCATCTTCTTTATTAATTGAAAGCTTTAATACACCGGCGTAAGTATAAACATTATCAATATTTCTTTTTGAATCTTTTATAATTGATCAAACAAATTGTTTTGGAAAGATAGTTATGTTAATTATTTTGTATAAGAATACAAAGAAAAAAAAAATTTTATATTTTAGAGATCTTTTTTATGTTAGAAATCATCTACCTGTTCCTGAGATAGATTTAAAAACTTACACGGTAGAAATAGCCATAGAAGAAGATACAAAAAAAACTATAGATTTTGAAGGAATAAAGAAATATCCAAAATATACAGTGACAAGTGCTATAATGTGTGGTGGAAATAGACGTTCAGAAATGGCAGAGGTATTACATTATTAAAATTTATATAATTTAATTAAAAATTATATGAATATATTTTTATATACAGGTAAAACCATTAAAAGGTCTCAGTTGGGGTGTAGGTGCTGTTGGTAATGCCACTTGGTCAGGAGCACGTTTGTGTGATATATTAAAAGATTTAGGAATAAATGAAGAAGATTATGATCACGTACAAGTACTTATATTTTTTTAGAAATATCAATTTCTTTTTTTTATAGCTTTCCATTTTTATCTTTTTCAACATATTAGTTTGAAGGTCATGATGTAGATCCATCGGGAATGCCATATGGCGCAAGTATTCCTATTAGTAAAGCCATGGATCCTAGGGCAGATGTATTATTGGCGTATGAAATGAATGGGCAACCTATACCAAAAGATCATGGATTTCCAATTAGAGTAATTGTTCCAGGAGTTGTAGGTGCGAGAAATGTTAAATGGCTTGGTACGTAGATGAAGGAATTTCATTGAAAATTTTTATAAAAATTTTTTCTTGTATCTAAGGATGCAACTATCATTCTCTCTTTTTCTCTTTTTTTGTTTTACACAGACAAAATAATTATTTCTAAGATAGAGAGTCAATCACAATGGCAACAAGGTGATTATAAAGCTTTTTCTCCTAGTACTGATTGGGATAATGTAGATTTTTCAAAAGCACCAGCTATACAAGAGATGCCTGTCATTTCTGCTATTTGTAAGCCAGAACAATCAGAACAAGTCAAAATAAAAGATGGCAAAATAGATGTTAAAGGTATTACGTTTATGTTAATAAAAATGTGAATGAGTTTTTTATTATTTAAATAATTTTTACAGGATATGCATGGTCAGGTGGAGGTCGAAAGATAATCAGAGTTGATGTAACATGTGATAAAGGTAATACTTGGCATACTGCTGATCTCATAAAACAGGATCTTAATGCTAAAGAAGGTCGACATTGGAGTTGGACATTATGGAGTATTAATCTTCCTGTTGATACAAAATTAAAGGAAGTAGAGATTTGGTCTAAAGCCGTTGATTCGTCTTATAACGTTCAGCCGGAAACAGTAAAAAATATTTGGAATTTACGGGGTTTCTTGTGTAATGCATACCATAGAGTAAAAGTACAATTAAACTAATACGTGACATAGTAATATGATTATAAGATAGAAATTGTCTCTCTAATTTTTAATATTTGTTTTAAATAATTAATACTTATTTTGTATTATACATGTATTATTAATTAATAATTATTATAAAAAATAATTTCTATCAAAATGCTATGATCTAATTTCTTTTGACAGATTCTCTAATGTCATTGTTCATAATATTGTCAGATTCTCTAATGTAATTGTTCATAAAATAATCACTTAAACCCTCTAAAGTTACATCATGATATTTGTTGTTATAAACATCATAAAGTTCAAACGTTGATTTTGATATTACAGATTTACCAAGGATTATAGCATAAGGATATCCAATGTTTCTTACATACAGTAAACGTTTACCTATTGTCAAATCTGTTCTATCATCAAGTATTGCGTCTATACCTAATTTACATAAAATATTGTATATCTGTTCGATATAAGACGATGCAGCTTCTTCTTTGCTTCCTTCCTACAACATGTATATAATATTATAATTTTATGTCGATTGAGATATCAATTTTAGTATTTCTTTTCTTTTTTTTTTTTTTTTTTTTTGCATAAATTACCTTCGGTGGAATGATACAAACTGTAAAAGGTGCCAAACTTTTAGGCCACCTTAACTCTTCTTTAACTGAAAGAATTTCAACTGCTGCAGCCATAATACGACTTAAGCCAATTCCAAAACATCCCATTACAAGAGGTTTTTCTATATTTTTATTTATATAAAATGCATTTAATGGTTTTGAATACTTTGTATCCAAGAGGAAAGTATGTCCAACCTGAATATTTAAGATAATGTAATAAAACTTTGATATAACAATAAATAATTAAATTTTATATGTTTTAATAAATAACTCATTAATAAATACCTCAATAGTATTATGTGCTTGTAACTTCTTGCTACAGCGTGGACATTCAGTTTGCTTAGATACATTTTTATTCACATAATAGTTGCAAGATTGACACGACAGAATAACATCTTCTCCAATTTCAGATAAATATTGATACTCATGAGATAAACAACCACCGATAGATCCTGTATCACCTATAGCTATAAAAAAAATTAAATATCATTGATATATATATATAGAAACTTTTTATAAAATTAAAAAAAATCCTTTTTACAGATACATTAAATTACCTTTTATATATTCTATTCCAATTTGATTAAAAATTTTATCATAAGCCTCGCATATAATATTATATGTATCTTTAGCATCATCTAAATTGACGTTAAAGGTATACAAATCTTTCATAATGAATTCTCTGCTACGTAATAAACCTAAACGTGGTTTCATTTCGTCTCTCCATTTACTAGAAATTTGATATAATTTTAGGGGTAATATTTTGGAAGATAAAGGGCCAAGATTATGTATTAGATTACATATTGCTTCTTCAAAAGTCTGCAACGAATTTTATATCTGTTTGAAACATTAAAACTAACATAATATACAATTTAGAATTATAATAAAATATAAATGTTTTAAAACACTTACTGGACTAAGAATATATTCCTTTTTATATCTGTCTGTTAATCTAAATAATTCATTTTTATCAGATTCATATCTATTAGTCTTTTCTAATAATTTAATTGATGTTAGAGAAGGTAATAATATTTTCTGTGCTCCAATGTTTATCATTTCTTTATCAATAAGAGCTGTAAGTTTATTCAATACTCGTAATCCTAATGGTAACAATACATGCATTCCTTTATTAACTGATTTGATAATACCGTTATTGATCATATTCTAAAACAATACAAACTTAAATATTAATAAATATAGAAATAAAAAACAAAATATATATTATTAAATATTATATATATATATATATATATATATATATATGTATATTACATAAAAATATGTACCACATAACCTTTCGAAAGTTCTGTCTTTTCAAATGTGTTTGGTAACGTAACATGAATTGAACGAAATAATTGAGATACTCTGTTTATTTTATTAAGTTTTGCATTCCCCATTGTTACTTTTATAAACAAACAATATTATACGATAAATTGAACGTCAAAATAGACGTACTATGTTATGTTACTATAGAAAAACCGACAATAGTTGTATGGTCGCTAGTGTCTCGTATATTTACATTTATATAAAAGTTCGTCAATGAATAATACTTCAAATAGATTCTACTGTCATGAGTCTACGTGAAAGTTAATCAACGTAATCTTACAGTATCGTGAATCGATAAATAATGTCATTTTAAAAATGGCGCATTTTTTCGTGTATATATGAATGAAAAGAAAATTGAAATAATATTTATTTTACGTACGATTCAAATTAAATGATTAATAATTTCGTTCATTATAATTTTTCAATTATTTAAACAATCTTTAATAAATACGGTGTGAAAATAAAAGTCTTACGTTGAACTACATTTTTTATTGTTCGAAAATCAGAAAGCACGAACGGTTGTACTTAATAATTCAATTATATCTGAAACTGACGTTGTCGGACGATGGGAGTTATTCGGGAAGTGGGATCTCACATATCTCCAGTTAGTCTGAAGCTTCCGAAGTGAAAAGATATCGAGGATTGATATTACGGAACGTGGATTTTAAAGTAAAGTTACTGTCAGTCCGTGGATCTTCATAAGCAGCAACCTCTCCACGTGGTGAGATCTGGTTTGTTATTATTTGTGACATATCGAAATCTAATTCGATGCAAATATTATCGAACGAATTACGAGCTACTTGAATTGCGCTTTAGATATTCGTATAAATATAATTGAATACAAAAAAAAAAAAAATTATAAAGTTTGTCCAATTAACAAATACTTTTTCAAGATTAAGATTAATCTTGAGAAAAATATAATCTGGTATGTGGTTTTTTCTTTTCTTTTTTTTTTTCTTCTTTTACTTTCGTCAGATTTATTATTATTTATTATTACATATAAATAATTCTATCGCGCACTAATCCAATCGTTTAATTATGTATGAAAGGGATATAAGCTATATAAGTTTATAATACCGATAGGCACCAATAGACGCCATAACGGGAACAATATTTTTCTATTGCACTTGTAATACATATTTTATTCAAATCTTTTGTTAATATAATATGATTGAAAGTTCGTGAATGGTTTGTTCAATAGGGAGAAAAAGAAAAGAAAAGAAAAAAAAAAGAAAAAGAAACAAAAAGAAAAAGTGTAAAAATATAAGAAGAGAATGAACTAGAGGACCATTTCTAGAATATATTGCTATATACACACTTTAATAACCAAAAACAAACATTACAGTAATAATATTGTTATTAATATAATATTATGTAATAATAGAATCGTTTATCAATCGTAGTGTAAACACTAAAAATGTTGCTTCCTCATATTCTTTTTTTTATTTATTTACTTTTTTTTTTTTATTTTTTTTTTTTATTTTTTTTTTTTTATTGGAAAGAACGATGCATATCTCGTTTTGCTCTCATTCTCATTTCATTAATAATGTTAATTTATAATCGTCGCGAAATAATCCGGCGCTCGTAAGGCCCGCGTGATCTTAACTCGATCAGTATTTTTTTCCTTATATATGCGAAAGAACAATTGGATTTGTTCTTCCGCAAATTGAATAAAGAAACTAAGAAGAAGAAGAAGAAGAAAAAGAAGAAGAAAAGAAAAAAAAGAAAAAGATCGATCCATCAAATCGATCGATCGTCGACCTTTCTTTTTTGTTTCTCTTTTCTTATTTTTCTCTTTTCTTTTTCTTTAATTCTTTAATTTCTTTCTTAATTTCTCAATCGATCCTTAAGAAATCACACGAACCAAACGAAAAGCGCGCGGCCGATCGTGGCTCCGTAGACGTTTACCTTAGAATAATAAATATTATAGTGCAATATCTAAAAAATCTGTCTTTTTTATGCAACTTACACATTCAAATACAGTGTACTCGAAAAATTTACAATATTATTGCCCTTACAAACATTAAATCTCTATTCGAGCGGTGGTAAATCCGCGATACCTATCTCTCTCTTTTTCTCCCTCTCTTTCACTCTTATCAGACTCATTCGCTATCTCTCTCTCTCTCACTCTCTCTCTCTCTCTTTCATCTCTCTTTCTCTCTCCCTCTTTTTCTCACGTGCACGCGATTCTTTTATTCACTCTCTCTCTCTCATTCTCTCTCTCTCTCTCTCTCTCTCTCTCTCTCTCGTTCTCTTTCTCTCTCTCTCTCTCTCAATCTCTGACCGCTAAAAAAGAATGTATTTTTTTTGCTTATATCTTTTTTTGTCGTTTATTTTATTATTTTTTTTTTATTATTTTTTTATTATTTTATCCTTTTTTTTTTCTTTATTCAAGATCGTGAGTGCGTGTGAGAATATTCAAAGTGTACAGCTGATAGAATCGATTCCTAGTCCGTTTAATTAATCTTATAGCTTCTTCTCTTTATTTCTGTTTTTTTTTATCTTTCCTCTTTTCGTTCTCTCTCTCTCTCTTTTTTTTTGAATGCAACCTGGTTCCTCGTTTTTTAAATGTTATATCATACACACACACGACGGAGTGCGCTCGCATTTTTCCCGCGTAATTTCATAAACGCATATATTCGGCACGTAAAGATAAGTAACGTTTAATTCTTTCTCATTTCTCGACGTATTTTTCTTGCATTATTGGTTATCAACAACAATGCAGTCGGTCATCTGCTATAAGATCACATGTCTACATATATACATATATACATACATACATATATATATATATATATATATATATATATATATATGTATATGTACACATATACATGTATCAATTTCAGAAAACGTTCACTATAATCGCATTTTGATCTGTCATTAACTTTAAATTCACTTCAATGTGATGATAGTCATCCTCCTCCTTCTCATCTCGTTTTTATCTATCTTTTTTCTCCTTTTATTTATTTATTTTTTGTTTGTTTTTCTTTCATATCCCGAATATCTCTCTCTCTCTCTCTCTCTCTTTCCTTAATGGAGAAATTGTAGAAAGTTGGAAATACTCGCGCATATAGAGGACGATCGAAAGATTTTCCTTCTTGAATTGGCGATACGTTGAGACGTGTAACGAACACAGTACGAATGATATTTTTTATTTATTTATTTATTTATTTGTTTTTTTTTTTTTTGTTTTTCTTCTTCTTTTCTCTTTTTTCTTTGTCGCGAGAAGAAGACGCGCTTGTTGTTTTTTCATCTCACGTTATTTCGTCGTTTTTCTCTTTTTTTTCTTCCCTTTGGTTCTTTCTTTTCCGAAAGCGCGAATTAAGCGAATAACAGCACGAGGATAACGAAAATGATAAATTGCATGTACGTTCCTTGTCACGAGATAATAACAATTAATGTAACACCTGTTAGTTGATTAAGCCGGAATTAACAACATCGTATATTATTATTATTATTTTCACTTTTATCTTGTTACCGTTAATACCATCGATCGTTCTTTCGTGATTGTTATTGTTGTTGTTATTGTTATTATTATTATTATTATTATTATTATTATTATTATTATTATTATTATTATTATTATTAATATTATTATTTTATTATTTTTTTTTTAATCTTTGACAACGTTGAGATAATATTATCAGTAGCACTTTATTTATCGTAATTACGTTCAAGTGATTAATGATAAAACACGGCATAAAAATTATTAATTCGCTTTATACGAAAGTCTGCCGCTAGACTCGTCGTTCGATCCGTCCTGTGTCCTATTTTTCTTTCTTTCTTTCTTTCTTTCTTTCTTTTTATGTTTTTTCTTTCTTTCTTTTAGCTTTTTATTTCCCGTGTGTATGTGTGTGTGGTTTTCTTACGTGTACGTATATGTTTAAAACGCCGTCCCTGATATCTTTCACACATTCTCTCTCTCTCTCTCTCTCTCTCTCTCTCTCTCTCTCTCTCTCTCTCTTTTTCTATCTTTTCTTTACGAATATCACACGATACGTACGTACAACGTATACATATCTACGTCTTAAACAATTTTCTCGAAACTATTCAACGTGGCTTTGACAAAAAGCCATTTCGCCATTTCGCATACCGAAGCGTGTCCGCCATTTTGACTTCGGCAAAGAGACGTAAGAAAATGGCGGGCGATTTCAAAAGACTTCGCGGACTTCAGCTGCGTGTTTCTGATGTGTTTTGTGTGTCGTATCAGTGAGGAACAGGGATTGATAGTGGTTGTGATAGTCGTAATGGTAAAATGGTGATGATGATGGTGATGGTGGTGGTGGTGGTGGTGGTGGTAGTAGTAGTAGTGGTAATGATGATGATGATAGTAATGATGATAATGTTAATGGTGAGAGGTTAGGGGATGCAGTCAAGTCTCGCAATAATTAAACGGTATTATTAATTATAGAGATTAATAGTTTTAATTGGTAGGATGGTAAATAGTTAAGAGTTAGTGATAATAGCAATTAGTAATTATTAATAGTAGCTGACAATTTAAATATTCGAGCTAGTACCTCTAGGACGTTATTATATCGAGAAGACGTGGAAGTGATAAAGGGTTAGGATTAGTTTAGAGATAAGATGGAAGAAGAGGATGAGGATGTAGACGAGGAGGAAGTGGAAAATATAAAGGAAAAGAAAAAGAAAAAAAACTCAAAAAAAAAAAAAGAAAAAGAAGAAGAGATCAGAAGCATGAAAGATCTCGGATTTTTTCTTTACTTTTTTTTTTTTTTTTTTTTTTTTTTTAGGGAAGACACGTAATAACGGATATTATTCCGTTTTGTTTGGAAGTATAATCATTCTTTCTTCTTCCCAAAATCTCTCTCTCTCTCTCTCTCTCTCTCTCTATCTCTCTCTATCTCTCTCTAACCCGATCGAGCGAGGGATTCAAATCGATCGGTTCCTAATTAATTATAATAATTTATAATAATTATATAATAATTGTATAATTATATATAATATACGGGAACGAGAGGGGAAGGGAATCTTGGCGCTAACTAAGAGTCTGATATGTAGACTGACTTTGGGCGAGGGTCACCTATGTGTTTAATTTTTTG